CTGGTTCCTGGTTCAGTCCTGGTTTTAGTCATGCATTGGTCTTATAAAGAGCTTTTCCAGACGCTCAGGGTCACTTTACACTTTGGTGCCATATTCATTCTCTCATACTCTGGTGGTACACTCCTATTGTAGCCACAGTTGCCCTGGGGCAGAAGAGAGGCTGCCAATTTGCGCCATCAGCCACTCTGACCAACACTCACTCACACACCACTTTCATATTAGGGTGAAGTGTTTTGCATAAGGACACAACGACAGTTTTTGTGACTGGCGCCCCCCTGTGGCTCCTGATTTTCCCAGCGTCTCCATCCAAGTCCAGACCAGACCTGGACCTGCAGAGCTTCTGAGGTCTGACCAGAGCAGGTTTTGACAAGGAGGTTTGACCACAGTCCTGGTTCAGTCCTGGTTTAGTTCTGGTTTAGTCCTGGTTTAGTCCTGGTTCAGTCCTGGTTCAGTCCTGGTTTAGTTCTGGTTTAGTTCTGGTTTAGTCCTGGTTTAGTCTAGGTTCAGTCCTGGTTCAGTCCTGGTTTAGTTCTGGTTTAGTTCTGGTTTAGTTCTGGTTTAGTCCTGGTTTAGTCCTGGTTTAGTCCTGGTTCAGTCCTGGTTTAGTTCTGGTTCAGTCCTGGTTTAGTCCTGGTTCAGTCCTGGTTCAGTCCTGGTTTAGTCCTGGTTCAGTCCTGGTTCAGTCCTGGTTTAGTCCTGGTTCAGTCCTGGTTCAGTCCTGGTTTAGTTCTGGTTTAGTCCTGGTTTAGTCCTGGTTTAGTCCTGGTTTAGTTCTGGTTTAGTCTGGTTTAGTCCTGGTTCAGTCCTGGTTCAGTCCTGGTTTAGTCCTGGTTCAGTCCTGGTTTAGTCCTGGTTCAGTCCTGGTTCACTCCTGGTTTAGTCCTGGTTCAGTCCTGGTTCAGTCCTGGTTTAGTCCTGGTTCAGTCCTGGTTCAGTCCTGGTTTAGTTCTGGTTTAGTTCTGGTTCAGTCCTGGTTTAGTCCCGGTTCAGGCAGACAAGGTTTGCAGCTGTCGACAAAGGAAAGGACACTGGACACTGAGGATTTGAATAGAAAATATAAAACATATTTAGTGGAGGTATTTCAGGTTTTTCTTCACTCCATCATTCTTCTCTTCATTTTTCGTCTTTTGTTGTATGTTTGATTCTTTTGTGTCTACTGATTGAGAGGTGTGTCCAAACTTTTGACTGGGAACTCAAACTTAAATGTCGTGAAAACTAAAACTTTCCAAAAATATAATGATTCGCACCTCCTCTTCCCTCATCCCGTCTGCTTTTCTCTCAAGTTCTGATACGTTTGAATGTTTTTTTAAGTTTAAATATTTGCACACTCTGACCTCTGACCTCTGACTTGTGGCCCCGCTTCAATCTCGCCTTCGTTTTGTCAAATTGGAGTTTATTTTGGGCGTTGGTTTTCCGTGTTTTTTTCATGTTTTCGTGTGTTTTGTGAGTGATGTGCAGTGCGTTGGCTGCCTGCGGGACGTGTCAGATCTGTGGAGATGAGAGCAGGGATGTTCACAGACTCACGTGTGACTCGGGTGAATCGTTTGATCAGAAACTCTTTGATTTTGGAGTTTTCGGTGACAGATTTTGGAGTTTTTTTGAACGACTCAATTTAACATCTTTAAAAATGAAACTGACAAAAACAGAATTTAAAGATAAGGAACAGAAGACCAGTTTAGACCTGGTTTAGTCCTGGTTTAGACCTGGTTTAGTCCTGGTTTAGATCTGGTTTAGTCCTTCTTTTAGACCTGGTTCAGACCTGGTTTAGTCCTGGTTCAGTTCTGTGATGGTCCTGGTTCAGTTCTGTGATGGTCCTGGTTCAGTTCTGTGATGGTCGCAGAGGATAACAGATGTTAACTGCTCCTGTCAGCTCCTTCATGTTTCTTCAGATCTCTGGTTTAACGTCCTGGTCCCCTGGGTGCTGCTGTAGTCTTGGTTGAGTTTCTGATCCTGCTTTAGACCTGCTTTAGTCCTGGTTGAGTTCTCTGATCCTGCTTTAGTCCTGGTTGAGTTCTGTGATAGTTCCATAGGATGAGTGATGTAAGTGACTGTCCTCTGGTCCAGTTAAATTCTAGTCCAGGTCTAGTCCGGGTCTAGTCCCACATGAGGAGTACAGACACCCATCTGCATGAGGGCTTCATTCAGTGTCTTGCTCAGCGGCACATAACAATACAGTGGGATCAAACTGGCATTCCTGTGTTACAGACTTGAAACACTCACTGGAGTCTGGTCTGAACTCATCCTGGTCTAGTCTGGTTCTAGTCCGGTTCTGGTCCGGGTTTAGTCCAGGTTTAGTCCTGGTCTAGTCCGGTTCTAGTCCTGGTTTAGTCTGGGTCTAGTCCAGGTTTAGTCCAGGTGTAGTCCTGGTCTAGTCCTGGTGTAGTCCGGGTCTAAAATAAGATAATCCTTTATTGTCTCCCATGGGAGAAATTAGTCTTGGGACAGGAGGGTAACATGTTTTATCAAAAAACAGGACAACACAACACAAAGCAGCACAAAAACAAACACCATAGAACAAAATAAATATGAGACCAAGTCTGACCATGACTTGTCTTTGTCTTTACAGACAAACCCTTTGCATTCTTGTATTCTGTTCATAATTGCACATTCCCCTTGAGCCTATGTGCAGTTTTAATTATTGCACATTCCTAGTCCGGGTCTAGTCCAGGTCTAGTCCGGGTCTAGTCCGGGTCTAGTCCGGGTCTAGTCCGGGTCTAGTCCTGATGAGGACTACAGAGACTCTAGAGCCACTGTCCTCACAAACCCCACACTTCTCAGTTTGTCTCTCTTACATCTGCTGATGTCATCAGGTGGAGCTCCTTTGGAGTTTTAAAGTTTAGCTCTGGGCCTGACTGCTGCTCTCACTCTTTCTGTCTGTCACTCCTCTTTCCCTCACTCGCTCTCCTCTCTCTCTCTTCTGCTCTTTACATCTCTGTCTCTCTCCCCTCATGATTCTTTTCAATGTTTAATCGAAAATAAAACCTTTTTTCTCGTGTTGTTTCTGTGTCTGAGTCGACATTATTCGTTGCTTTTTACACATGTTTACAGTCATTTTGACTCCCAATCTAAAAGAGAAAAGATTCTGCTTTGTTGTCGTCTCCTCGCTCCCCCCCCCCCCCCTCTCTCTCCCTTCTGCCCTCACCTCTCTCTTTCACCCCACTCTCTCTTTCACCCCTCCTCTGTCGTTAGTGCAGTGTCATTAACACCGTCAGTGTTGTTAGTGTGGTTATCGGCCTGTTCGTTCACACTCGCTCAGAGTTCTTCTCACAGGAAACGCTCGTGTGAAGTTTAAAAAAAGACTGAATCTGAAAAAGACGCTGATGACACGAGAACTGTTCTAAAACTGTTCCCTCCTCGAGAACACAGAACACACCTGGAGCTGTGTTTTGTTTCACTTGAGTCTGTCTACATCTCCAAAGCTCAGAATGCTCTATTTCACCTTGTGATGTCATGAAGTGTTTTGAAGTGAACAGCTTTTTTTTCCCTTTTCCCTTTAGTTGAGTAGAGTTCAGCAATTCCAGGCCTGAAATCATCCACATTTGTGTTTAGTTTGTGCTCTGTGATTCGCATAAATTCATCACAAGTTTTTTTTTTGTTTTTTTTTTCACAATACAATTTTGGGCCATTTTGAAGAATTTATAAATATCATAAAATCATAAATCATAATAAAAGACAAGATTAAATGTTTGGTTTCAATGTTTCTTTTCAATTTGACCAGTTTAAAAATGTCCAATTATTATTACATTTAAAATGATTTTAAATTGTGTTTATTTTTCCTGAAGAAATTGTCACTTTCTCTCTCTGACACAGACACACACACACATATACACACACATGTGTGTGATTGTGAAGGGAGAGGCCCATGGTGCAGGTTGGCAGCCTCACCTGTGTCAGTGTGCCCCAGGGCAGCTGTAGCTACTCCAGTATGTCAGAATCCAGAGTGAGAGGAGCGACTGTACACAACATAACCAGTCCCACTGCTCCCGCTTTATTCTTATTTATGTTCATTTCAGTAAAAGAAAGATTAAACCCACACACGCTCCAAACACACGTTGTGAGAGTGTGTGTCGTCACACACAGCGTTGTGAGAGTGTATGTCACACACAGCGTTGTGAGAGTGTGTGTCGTCACACACAGCGTTGTGAGAGTGTATGTCGTCACACACAGCGTTGTGAGAGTGTATGTCGTCACACACAGCGTTGTGAGAGTGTGTGTCGTCACACACAGCGTTGTGAGAGTGTGTGTCGTCACCGACAGTGTTCGGCTGCAAGTGAAGCTCATCGTAGCCAGCAGTTATCGTGATTATTCTGGGGCCCAGTTCATACTTGGAATTCCACGAGTATCGTTGTAACCAAACAGCCAATCTGGAGCAAAGCTGTGGAAGAGAACGTCACTTCCTGTGGGCAGGGCTGGTTTGGCAGAGCGGGCACTTAGCAACACTGTCAAACAAACATGTTGCTAATGCTAGCAGGAGGGACCGCGCTATACGCTTAAAGAACTTCAATCTACTGTTGATCTGTTCAAATATCTTTAAACTCACTCAGAGAGGAGGAGTCTGGGGAGAGGAGGAGGAGTCTGGAGAGAGGAGGAGGAGTCTGGGGAGAGGAGGAGGAGTCTGGGGAGAGGAGGAGGAGTCTGGAGAGAGGAGGAGGAGTCTGGAGAGAGGAGGAGGTGTCTGGGTAGAGGAGGAGGAGTCTGGAGAGAGAAAGAGGAGTCTGGAGAGAGGAGGAGGAGTCTGGAGAGAGGAGGCGGAGTCTGGACAGAGGAGGAGGTGTCTGGAGAGAGGAGGAGGAGTCTGGAGAGAGGAGGCGGAGTCTGGACAGAGGAGGAGGTGTCTGGGTAGAGGAGGAGGAGTCTGGAGAGAGGAGGCGGAGTCTGGACAGAAGAGGAGGAGTCTGGAGAGAGGAGGCGGAGTCTGGAGAGAGGAGGCGGAGTCTGGACAGAGGAGGAGGTGTCTGGGGAGAGGGAGGTCTGGATACAAACGAGGCAAGACAAAGAAAAACTCTTAAAAGTCTTTTATTCAAATACAGAGAGTACAGAGCTCTGCACCGAGCCACGCCACAAACCAGATGCCCTCCCGTGTGGGTCATGTTCTGAAGTGGGGGTTTCTGATGAGTTTAGTCCGGATGTGGAGCGGTTCAGAGCGGATAGAAACTGGTTTTGGGGGTTCGTGTGACGTGGCTCGGCGTCTGTGATCCAGGAGCAGAAACACTGAAAGTTGAATATTGGTTTTATTTTGAAGCAGAACTGGCCTCAGCGTCACAGAGAGAGAGAGAGGAGCCGAGTCTCAAAAACACACAGCAGCTCACACACGCCGCTCACACACACTCACACACAAGACGACGCTGCACACCGATGGGCACATGTGGACACTTCAGTTTCAATATTTAAATAAAAAATGAGTTACATAAATCTAAGAAAAGAGTATTCATATTTTTGCACCAGAATAATTTCATTATTCCATAATTTAAGGCGAGACGCTGCAGCTGCATAAAAAAGAAATCTGTACTTTACTCACACAAAAGTGAGGACAAAATGTATTACAAGTTTATGTCATGTTATGTTTTCATATAAAAATGAAGCTATCCCCATGTCCCCATGTCTTTATGTCCCTACAGGAGAAAAATGCCTTTTGTGAAAGGTGTTTCTATTTCACACACTTTGTGAGCATACAGCTGCAGCCGGACTCACTTCTGTCTGAAACGTGTTTGGGTGCAGAGTGGACAAAAGCCTGAGTGCTCAGACCAAACTGACCAAAACACTGAAAACACTGAAATGACTGAAAATACGGAGTTGTGCCTGAAGTGTCTCTTCTTAAAGATGAATTGTGCTCAGATGTTTTCATGTTTCAGGCCTGTGATTCAAAGGCCCAAAATAAACCATCACATTCAACATCTGTGCACTTTTAGAGGGGTTTCTTTATTATATTTTCAGGACATTTTGGAAACAAAAAAAAACTATAACATTTTAAAAATACAAGCAAAAATGAAAACTTTTTTAAAATAAAAAAAAATATTAAAATAATAAAAACAGAAGTCGTAATAAAGCACAGAGTTGAATGTGTGGTTTTGGACCGAGACAAAAGGCCTTCCAATTTGACAGATTTCAAAATTACAATTATAATTAGTTTAATATTATTTGAAATGTAATACATTTTTGTAAAATTTTAATTAAGTGGGAAATTCCTGATGAAGATCTTAAAAAAAGAAAAAAAAAAAACAAAAAAAAACTGTCATCGTAATTGCACAAAAGGCAAATGAAACAGTGAATAAATGAAATGCAGATTTGGTGTTTTTGAGGGAACTCGGCGTTGAGCTGAAAGACGAGGAGTGGCTCCAGTTGAGGGACAAAAGTCGACAGTGTTTGTGCCATGTGCTGGAGCGTCAACGTGTGTCACTGTACATCTGAATGTTCCATGAGGCTGAGAAAACACTTTAAACTGCTCTTTATATTTCACCCTAAAATCTCTGGACTCGAGACATTTTCAAATCCTACTTAAAACTCACCTTTTCAAAGCTGCTCACAGTCTCCAATTTGTACAGATCAAATAGGGTGAAAAAGTTCAATCTATTTATTATTTGTTTGTGAATAAAACGTCTAAACTGGGATCATTTGTGAATCCTGAATCAGTACTTTCGTCCTGCTGGAGCCGCTCCTCGCTGACATTCGTTGCGGTGTGAGATACATTCCACGTTTCAGCAGAAAAATAAACGTTTAAATCTGTACAATTTCAGAAAAATAAATTCCTGAAATATTTAAATCTTTTTTACATTGGAGTTCAGGCTGAGGGCAGTTCTGCTCACACACCAGAGCACAGGCAGCACAAGCAGAAACCAGAGACCAGAGACCAGAGACCAGAGGCCAGAGACCAGAGACCAGAGACCAGGCCCGAGTCACACACAGAACACACAACACGCTTGGACATTTCACTCTTCTCAACAGAGGCACAAATATTTCAACTGAGTTAAGGCAAAAAAAATAAAAAATAAAATAAAATAATAATAATCATCATTTTGAATATTGACACCTGGATTTGGAGTTTTGTAAAACTACTTATCTAAAATCTGACAAATTACAAACAAACAAACAAACGATTATATGATTAATACTAATTAAATCATTTTACTTCACAAGGACTAAAATAGGACTAAACCAGGACTAAACCAGGTCTAAACCAGGACTAAACCAGGTCTAAACCAGGACTAAACCAGGACTAAACCAGGTCTAAACCAGATCTAAACCAGGTCTAAACCAGGTCTACACTGTAATATAAATGGAGGACTACAAAAAGACGTCTGGTATAAATTGTTCCAAATATTTTCAAACTAAAATAATATGACCTGGTTTCTCTATAAAATCCATATTTCTGCCTCTTTTTTTCTTTTTTTTCTTATATTTTCTTTTCTTAGCGATTGTGTCGTTCCTTTGTGACCACAGACTGTATAAACAAATGTTGTGAGGGAGTGTGACGTCACCCACAGTCTTCAGATCCAGTCAAATGAAGCTCACAGAAGCTGGTGGTTATGGGGTGAATTTGGAGCAGAGAATATTTATTTACGGACAATAGTGAAATAAAACCGCAGGATCATGTAGAGCGGCTTAATGTGAACATTTGAAGACCAAAAGGATGAGGCTCACTGCAGAGTCCACGGAACCAAATCACAGCCGTGCTCACTTCCTGTTTGGAAGGCGGCAGCGAGCTCGTTACTTGTGCATTTCTACAGTCTGTGGCGGGAAGCTGCGACTCGGGCCTGGGACCAAAAGCATTTGAGTTTTGTTTTTGTGAAGCTCTAAAGCTACAGCAGAAAATACTTCAATCTCACTGTTTTTTACTGTTTGTTTTTGAGCGGCACAACGACAGAGGAAAGGAGACAAGGAACAAGGAAAAGAGACAAGGAATTAGGAAAGGAGACAAGTAGGAAAGGAGACAAGGAAGTAGGAAAAGAGATGAGGAAGTAGGAGACGGAGAGTTGGATCTGGATGTGGCCGCGCTCACACCAAGATAAGAGAAAAGTGGATCTGTTTTCAATTAAGCATAAAAATCTGATTCAGTCTTAATTTAGTGCAAAATATGTGAAAATGTAAACAAAATAATAAAGAATTTTAAATATATGTGACTTCATAAAAATGTTATTCCACTGAATAAAATTTACATTTTATTTTCACATGTTTTGAAATCACACTGCATACTTAACTCAAGGCCTAAACCAGGCCTAAACCAGAACTAAACCAGAACTAAACCAGGATTAAACCAGGATTAAACCAGGATTAAACCAGGTCTAAACCGGTTTTGTTTTATAAATGATAAAAATCTTTGACATTAGTTAAAATAGCTGCAGAATAGTTGGTGGAAAACTGGATTTTCTTGTGTCACATTGAAGTTGGACTGTGGCGTTGGAGCAGTGGGTGGAGATGTGCTCTGGCTGCAGACCTCCACCCAGAGGACCCTCGCGGGACATGCCTCCACCCAAAAGCCCTCGCGCCCTCGTCGCACAGTCGGACCCTCGCACAGTCGCAAGATTGGACAGTCGTACAAGCAGTTAAAAACATGCTGTCACTAAATATTTTAGATAATTTTCCTACACAAGCATGACATTTTTAGAAATGTTTATTTATTTATTTATTTTACCATTTGAAATGCACTTTCTGGCCTTTGAAAACAGCAGAGTGAGGCCACAGTGGACAGAAAGTGTCATTAAAAGGTTTATAAAGTAAATTCATGAAAATGGTGAGGGACATGTGGGCGGAGTCTGCACCCATGAGCTTTCAAGCTCAAACCAGACGGCCACCAGTTCAAATCCTTTCAACTTTACGCAACCAAAATGTATTATTACTTTTTTACTTTTAAAATGTTGTAGATTTAATAGCAGATGACACTAAGTTTAAATGATGAAATTTGAGATTTTGTTTAAAAATGTGGAATATTTGTAATTCAAAAGTAAACTCCTCCTCTGGGTGTGAGCACGGCCCAGTTTGATTCTGTGAAACTTTGAACCTTTTTCCACTGTGTTTTTTTCAACTAGATTTTCATGTTTGTTTTTTTCTTTGTTCAGCGTCACATGATCCACAGCGTCCACGGCGCTTCCTCCTCAGACGGGTGTGGCTACAGTCCAACAGTGATGTCACCATGATGTCATGATGATGTCATGATGATATAATGCACTTCACAGAGACGTAAAAACAGGTCCAAAAGGTGCGCTTTTAGGAGCGAAGTTAGCCCCGCCTCCTCCTCAGTTTGCTCTCAGCCGATTGGACAAAATGGAATGACGCAAACATGAATTCTGCTACATATTTCAGACCAGGTCCAGTTTGAACACAAATGTATCTGAGTTTAAGGCGTCAAACCAGGACAAAACCAGGACAACACCGGGACTACACCGGGACTACACCGGGACTACACCGGGACTACACCGGGACTAAATCGGGACTACACCAGGACTACACCAGGACTACACCAGGATCAAAGTGGGAATACAGTGGGACTAAACCAGGACTGAACCAGGGCTCTACTAGGACGAGACCGGGAGTCTAGTTTCCGGGCCTGGTGCAGTGGTGTAGCTGTGATCTACTGGAGTGGCTAAATGTCTTAACAAAAACATGTCGACCTGGTTTATGGTTCATATCTCTGGAAATATTGGGCATATCCACATGAAATCAAAACTGGCACAAAGTTCAGTGTCTTTTCTGTCAGGAGAAATAAACGTAATAAACCAACGATGAAAATGATGAGGAAAAACATTTGGGATTTTGGGTTGGGGACATTTGAAAGAGGCACTTGCTTGATGAGACTAAATGTAAAGTAAAAGGTGCAGTGATCGTTTGGAGCAGATGGGGTTCGTTCATGCTGGGCTCACAGTCTCTGGACCTGGTCGGGTTAAATGGCTTCAGCTTAAGGTGCACATTTTATTATTATTTGAGTGACACTTAAACGCCACATCTCTGCTGGTTTCAGGAAGAAACACCAAACTAGAAAAAGATTCAAAAATTCAAATGAAATAGTGACAATGAAAGAATGATCCATTTGTGTTTTATGATTGAGGCACATTTCAAAATGTTCTTAAAGAGGGAGAATTTGACTTCTATGGAGGATTAACGGTAACACAGAACATATTTAGATCTCCATGTTACCTTTGATTCCTTTGAAAATGCTATTTTTACTGAAAACAACGTATGGGTGACATAGGCTTGTGGGCGGAGCCTTGTACAGGCTCGTACTGCAGACTGTATGGGAGAATGAAAAAATTAAATAAATTGCAGAATAACCCCTCAAGTGTAATTGTTTTAATTGTTTGGAGATGATTTTGAAAAAGTAATTGAACACTTAATTAAAATTTTGAACAATCAAATATGCCTCAAGGTAAAAGTAATTCATAAAATCTGAATTCTATTTTTTTAAAAGTGCAAAATTTCAAACAAGAAAAGTTTGAAAATTAAGTGCAATAGATTTTTTTTTTAAACTAAAAGTGCAGGTGCTGCTTTAGGAATAATGGAGGAAAATAAAATCAAAAGTTCAGAATGAATTCATTTGAAAATTTGTTTTTGTTTTTTTAAACGTAAATTTCAGTTTTGGGAAATGAAAACGTTGGGCTGAGGATTCAGGGGGCGCTTCGCTCTTTTTACAAAAAATGTAACAAAACTTTTCATTTTCCCAAAATGTGAAAATTCTGGGAAAGTTTCTATTTACAGGATGGAGCCGCCATTTTGGAGCCGCCATTTTGGAGCAGCTTTGGCACTCGACACGACCGGCGTCTGTCTCCACCAGATCAACAAAGTCCACAAAGGTGTCGTTTTGTGTCGTGGTTTTGTAGTTCTGCTGCTGATTCAGGCACAAAGAGTCTTTTCAAAACAAAGATTTAAATGTCACAATCTGGGAATAAAACATGTCTTTCTTCTTTTCAAGAAACATTTGATGAATTTAAATTTGTAATAAAATGTTCTTTTAGAATTACACTTAAATTTCCTATTGTGATTAATAACATAATATATTTAAACTGTCAGATTATTACCAGCATAAAACGACAAATTATGAAATGTGAATTATTCAAATTTAATTCACGTGAGACTAATCTAAATATTTTTGTGTTTGCAGTTTGAAGTGAAAAATCTTACAGAAACTAAAAGCCAGAATTCTTAAAATGATTCCACTTTTCTGAATATTTTTTATGTGATTCTAAAACCACACTAAATCTAAAGGACGTATTTCCGTGTTTGATCATTTTGTGGAAACTAAACTCTTTTTCCCAGATCGTGAGCCAGACCTCGTCCTCGATCTTGGATCCACCCAGCAGTCTGCACCGTCAAAATAAAAGCTTGAGTTTGACGAGCTCTTATTGTGACGGGTCCTTCTTCAGGTTCCCCTGCACCTGAAACAGAGACAAGTGTAAACTAAACATGGACTAAACATGGACTGAACGTGGACTGATCCAGGACTGAACCAGGACCGAACCAGGACCGAACCAGGACCGAACCAGGATTGAACCAGGACTGAACCAGGACTGAACCAGGACCGAACCAGGACTGAACCAGGACCGAACCAGGACTGAACCAGGATTAAGCCGGGACTAAACAAGTTGCACATGTGGCAGGGTCACACTGGGGGCAGTCATAATCACCCAAACTGTGGATTAAACAACTAATCCTGGTTTTGTTAATCCTGACCCTCTCCTCTTCTCCTCCTGACCCTCTCCTCTTCTCCTCCTGACACTCTCCTCTGCTCCTCCTGACCCTCTCCTCTTCTCCTCCTGACACTCTCCTCTGCTCCTCCTGACACTCTCCTCTGCTCCTCCTGACACTCTCCTCTTCTCCTCCTGACACTCTCCTCTGCTCCTCCTGACACTCTCCTCTGCTCCTCCTGACCCTCTCCTCTTCTCCTCCTGACACTCTCCTCTTCTCCTCCTGACACTCTCCTCTTCTCCTCCTGACACTCTCCTCTTCTCCTCCTGACACTCTCCTCTGCTCCTCCTGACACTCTCCTCTGCTCCTCTCCACTGCTCCTCTAAACCTCTTCTCTGCTCCTCTGCTCCTCTGTTCATCTCCTCTGTTCCTCTTGTCTAAACCAATTTTTTTTTGTGATTTTAAAAATAGTCTGGGACGTGTCAGTTCAAAGTTATTTTAATTGTTTACAGTTTTAAGATTTTTATGTAAATGAGTGTGTCTGGAGTTTTCCCCGAGGAGCTGTGATGGCTCTGTCAGCTGACTGTCACCACCACGCTTAGATCAACACAACAGTCTGAAGCAAGAGACCAGGACTGAACCAGGACTAAACCAGGACTGAATCAGGACTGAACCAGGACTGAACCTGCTTCAGTAGATCTGGACCAGTTCTAAACCCTCTTTTCCCCATTGTATTAATGTGAGCGTGAGTGAGGACAGTGCCCCCGGTGGTGTGTTTTATGTGGCGTCTCAGCAGGGGGCGGGGCTATTTGCGGCGCTGCGGCTGCTCTTTTGGCGCCGGTGCAAATATTTGGTTTGGCGACACGGGGGTCCTGTATGATCGGCTCCCGCTGAGACTCGCTTTGTCATGGATTTAAACACTGTAACAGGATTTAACAGAGCTGAGAGAGCCATCAGCACAAGCCCACGAGTCTGATTCAGTCCTGGTTTAAGTCCTAGTTTAATCCTAGTTTGGCCCTGGTTCGGCCCTGGTTCGGCCCTGGTTCAAGAAAGGTTGGAGTACTTATTTAGTTTACAAGGAGCTGGGGTTGTGTGTTAGACTCCTGAGCTCCTGCGTATGTGTTGCTGTGGCAGAGTGGTTGTCCTCTCTGTTACAAGGAGATTGTGGGTTCATTTCCTGACCTTAGCCGCTGGACTCTTCACTCAAGTCGTGTCTTCGGTCCATCCACCTCCCGAACACTCCCCCGGTCTGCAGGTCCAAAGAGGGCTGGCGATATCTGCAAAGAGGCCAGAGTTAGACCAGCACTAGACCAGGACTAAATCAGAACTATACTAGAACAAAAGCAGGCCAGAAACAGGACCAAAAGAGAAATAAAACAGAACTAAAACAGAACTGAACCAGGAGTGAACTTGGTTTAACCCTTCCAGCCCGACAGTATTGTGTACGATACCTGGAATATGTTTTATATAATCACACAGAACTTTCCAACCATAAAATATAGAAAATTACTTTTTTCCCTTGAAAAGCTGACAGTTGTGGCATTCCGAGCATATTTCTGGCATTATCCTCCATCACACGCTGCCTGATAATGTAGTGAAAACAAGTGTCTAATAGGAACTTTGTTTTCCACCAAACTCATGCGCTCCGTCCATTCTGATTGGGCCAAACTTGGCCGAAGAGTGTAGCGAGTCAAAATGGTCGATGTTCTGAGCATCTGTGTTTGTAACAATTGAAAAAGCCGCTCTAAGTGCAGTTATTTCTCAAATTACTATTTATTATTTTATTATTTCTCAAATCAGGTTTATTTCAGTCCAAATGTCCAAATCCAAATGTAATAAACCCCATGGAAATGCAGGAAGTGATGTGGCTCTGAGCCCTGGACCTGACACCAGCTGTTTCCATGACTGACACCAGGAAAGTCATGAGGACATTGCACTTTTTTTGTTTTGCTTTGAGGCAATAAGGAGATTTTTAGTTTACGTACAGACTTTGCACTTTTGTAGCTAAGGCCTAAATTAAGCATTTTTTATGCCCAAAAAGTTGCTGATGTTTGCTGTGTGTTTTGTATAAAAGAGTGTGAATAGAACATTTCATTAGGGGGGGAAAGGGGGAGAGCAAAATTAAGAAAAAAAAAAAGTAAAATGTACTAAAATGACCCCTTAGGTCTGAAAGGGATAACCAGGACTAAACCAGGACTGAACCAGGACTGAACCAGGACTGAACCAGGACTGAACCAGGACTAAACCAGGACTGAACCAGGACTGAACCAGGACTGAACCAGGACTAAACCAGGACTGAACCAGGACTGAACCAGGACTGAACCAGGACTAAATGTGGATTAAACGAAACCAGGGCCGTTTCTTCCTCCACAGCTGCTGGTGTTTTGGTTGACGGCTAATTTTCATAAAAGTAAAATGCGTCTGTTTTTGAATGATTTTTTACACATTCAGGCTAAGATCTGGCTCCGATCGGGCTGGTGTTTGGCTGGTGTTTGGCGTTTGCAGTGAGGCTGTCAGTCACACACTTGTTTAAATCATTTTCATAATTACAGTTCTGAGAGGTGCTTAAATCAGACTGCAGCTGAAGGAGGCGGAGTCCACATTCAAACTGAGAATTACACTCAATTAAAACACTCCAATCAAACGATCATTTCGCTCTCGTTACAAGAGGAGTTATTTCCAAGTCTCAAGTTTGATGCACTTTTATGCAGAATGTGTGGGCTTCATCTCAAATGTAAGTTTGAAGATGTTTAAAGAAATTGTACCTCCACTGTAACACGTCACATCTGTAGATCACATTTCACTGAAAATGATAAATTCACCAAAAGGATTAACATGATTCACTTTTGGTTTAACGCTCTGAGTCTCCCCTCCCTTTGCTCTCAGCACTAAGTCACTCCCCCTTCAGAGCACTATCACAACACAATCAGAGTGCGTCTTGTTAATGAAACTACTGCACATCACATCAGCTTTGTCAAGTTACTGTGGGGAGGAGACTGGAGCGAGGGGGAGGGGTCTGGGGAGAGGAGGAAGAGTCTGGGGAGAGGGGGAGGAGTCTGAGGAGAAAGGGAGAGGAGTCTGGGGAGAGGGGGAGGGGTCTGGGGAGAGGGGAGGGGTCTGAGGAGAGGGGGAGGAGACTGGAGAGAGGGAGGTCACCTGAGGAGGTCATGTTGTGGAGCGCTCAGGTTTTTGTTGAACCAGTTTAGCTCCGCCTCCTGTGCTCTTCCGTTACTCCCATTGGTCAGGTCCTGGCAGCGCGGGCCAATCAGATCAGAGCTGGGCAGCACACTTCCTGTTTTACCGTTGAACCAGCGCTGGCTCAGGTCGTCTGCGAATGACCACCTCGACACAAACTCCTCCGGGACTAAAGACAGAGACAATTTAAGGTGAATAGACTTTAAAAACACAGAAGAGCTTTATCTACCTCCTGATGACAGTTGTATGAGACTAAGTCTGCAGACTCAGACACAAAGAGTGTGTGTTTCTTACACATTAGAACAGGTTTGTCAGAGGAACACTCACCTCTGTTGAGCGTGTAGCCCAGATGCCCTCCCGCCTTAAGCCCGTTGTGCTTGTCCGCGGCTCCGTGCACGCTCCCGTTGCTCCCGTTGCCATGGCGTTTGGTCCCCATAGAGTTGAGAAGAGCCTGCTCGAGGTTATCTCTGAGAGCTCGACGCTCTCCAAACCAGCTCTCCACCTCCTGCAGAGACAGACGCGTCGCGACTGCCAGCGCCTCTGCCTCGCCATGAGATGGAAAACTGTTCCTCAGGAAGTTCTCCTCCAGTACCTTGAGCTGCTCGGAGCTCTTCCCCTTCATCCGCTCCAGGAGCGGGAACTGTGTGAGGACGCTGGCCTTCTGCAGATCGTTCTTAGCGTCCTCCAAATGTCCGTTACTCTGAGGACCTGGCTCGGGCCACGCCCCATTAAAGCTTGCATTATTCACGTCTCCTCCGTTCTGCTCGCTCAGCGGCACCCCCTCCAGTCCGCCGAAGCTCTGTGGCATGTTCGGATTTCCTCGGATCGATTGGATAATGGCTGGGCGCCGTATCTGCGGTGGGATTAGCGGTGCAGAGTTCGTTAGTATACCATTGGGTAAAGAAATCTGAGCCTTCTCCTTGGCCGTCCTCGGGACTAGGATGCTGCTTTTAAAGGGCGGGGCAAATATGGGGGGTGGGGCTATCATCGGCCGCGTCAGAGACTCCGGAAACACGATGGATGGCATCGACACCAGCGGCTTCATTTTGGAGTTGTTCGGAACATTGGGCACCATTTTGTTTTTCTGTGGATTCGGCGGCGGCTGCAGTAAAGGCACGGGGCGTTTGATTTCATTAGCATTAGCTCGTTTGGCGTCGAAGGGTTTTTGCAGCGGTGGGGGCAGAGGGGGCGGGGCCATGATTCCTTTCTCTCCAGGGTTCGGTGCCACGGCCATGACGGGCCGTTTGGCGTCCGGGCCGAAAGCCGGTGCGTTGAGGATCCGCTTGAGTCCATTTGACACAGAGTTGGACACAGAGCTGATGGACGTTCCGTTCCTCTGTGGCTCCACGGTGGTCGTGTGGACTGTTGCCTTGGTGACGGGGCTGTTGTGCACCATTGCCTTGGCAACTGGACTTGTGGGCAGAACGGTGAAAGTGTTGTGGTTCGGAGGGATGGACCCGTTGAACATCTTCTTTCGTGCCTCTTCCACCTCCTCTGGAGACCACGTGATGCCCTGCTTCAGACGCTGCGTGGTGAACCACACTTTGATCTGCTCCTCGGGATGTTTGGATGCCGCCGTCAGCCATGACAGCTCTGCATGCGTCGGGTACGGGAACCTGTTGAAGGAAGCAATGAGCGTCATGTTGTCATCCAGCGAGGGGTTGTACTTGGATGTGTTCAGAGGAACAGCGATCTGAGGAACACTGCTGAAGTTTGGAGGTCGCTGGAGCATTGGAGAAACGTGCGACGTGTCCTGCAGTATGTTCGGCTCCGGGATGATCACGGTCCCGTTTATACTGACCGCGCGGATCTGCTCCGAGGGTCCTTTAGCATCATTAGTGTCATTAGAGTCATTAGCGTCGACAGTATTTAGCAGAGTGTCCGGGCTCATCACTGTGGTGGAGATGCTCCCGCCCTCAGCTGATACATCCTCACTCTCCTCGATAGTCTGCTCCAGAAGCACGTGTCCATCCTCGCTCACCCTGCGGTACTTAAAGTTGGCGTCGCCGGGGTGTGCTTCCTCGTTGTGCTCTGTCAGAGAATCAAACTTTCTGGTTCTGAAGTTACAGGCGACGCACAGATAGACGGGATTCAGGATGACCCCCGGGTGACTGGAGTCCACATGCTCCTTAAAGTCCGTCAGGTTTAGTGTCGTGAACGAGCAGTACTTACATTCAAACTCTTTCGTTTGAGTTTTGACAGCATCTGTAGCCTGGTTCTCTCCCTCCTCTTCCTTACTCAAAAGCTGGTCGCCATTTTGTTTGTTGTCCTCCATTTTGTCCTCTTCCGGTTTCCTGACATTTTTCTCATCACAGTCAGAGTTTTCAGACTGTTCTTTCTCGGATAAATCCTGATCCATTTGGAGGTCCATGCTCTCCTCTGCGCTCTGCTCCTGGTTCTCTTGGTTCTCCTGATTCTCCTGGTTTTCCTGATTTTCCTGATTCTCCTGGCTCTCAGAGTCCTCCAGGTTCTCCGGGTTCTCCTGATTCTCCGGGTTCTCCTGATTCTCCGGGTTCTCCTGGTTCTCCTGGTTCTCGGGCGTTCGGACCATGCATGGGTTGCTGTTCTTGCGGCGACAGGACATGGTTCTGCTGGCTTGTGGGTTTGTGCTGGTGAAGGTGTGGTGTTTTTTTGGCTTATTTAGGGCTGGTTTCGGGCACTGGTTCGGAGGAGCAGACGGGAGCACTGGGGTCAGCTTCCAAACGCAGCGTAGAGCAGCATCACCGGCTGCAAGACAAGACAGAAATGTGTGATTATGTGTGAGCAGATATCAATACTAACAAGTCCCATTCCCAGGAAAGAAATGAACCTTTCCTGAACAGGGAGGGACTACACACATATAAGAGCACAGAAAAACATGAACATCACATTCTACTAAGTGTTTTTTATTATTATCATTGCAGTATTGGAATCGGTATTGAATATCGAGTATCGAGTCTATCCGTTTGTATTGAAATTGAGTTTGAAATGTTTGTTTTTAACTCAGGGAGGGCATCTGACACATAGGGACATTTAGCTTTATCAATCAATTTATCAAAAGCAAATGGTGAAATATGAACAGATTTTAGCCACACACAGTTTGAACAATCTCAAATTCTCCTCCATGAAAGCATCTCAGCAGCGTCTGTCTCTGAAAAACAATCGCAGAGATCAGAGCCATTTGTGACGAGACTTTTTCACCTCGGTAAAAACACAAAGGAAACATGACGTCCAATGACAGCCGCGACGCTAAACTCCTAATGCAGGACCAGGTAACCGACGGCAACAAACAAAAACGCGGAAAAAAGAGATTCAAAAAGTGTTTAAAAGGAAAGATAAAATGCAAACTTCAGAGAGGTCACAGAGGTCACCGAGCTGACAAACACAACACAATATTACATTTGATTTCAACTTAAAGAGGGATATTCTGCACACTCTCAGAACAATGTTCCCTCATCACAAACATCCTGAAGAGGTTTTACACTCATCCATGCATGTTTCAGTAATCTAGAGATCTCTCCTGGGTCCTTTTCAAACTCTCCTTATGGTTGGCAGTACGAACCTGTACAAGGCTCCGCCCACAAGCTTATGTCACTCATGTTTAGTCCATTTTGAGTCCATGTTAAGTCCTGAGTTGATCTGACTCCTGGTTCAGTCCCTGTTTTAGTCCATGTTTAGTCCTGGTCCAGTCCTGGTTCAGCCTATGTTTTGTCCTGTTTTAGACCTGGTTTAATCCTGGTTTAGACCTGGTTTAGACCTGGTCTAGTCCTGGTTTAGACCTGGTTTAGTCCTGGTTTAGTCCTGGTTTAGTCCTGGTTTAATCCTGGTTTAATCCTGGTTTAATCCTGGTTTAGACCTGGTTTAGACCTGGTTTAGACCTGGTTTAGACCTGGTCTAGTCCTGGTCTAGTCCTGGTTTAGACCTGGTTTAGACCTGGTTTAGTCCTGGTCTAGTCCTGGTTCAGTCCTGGTTCAGTCCTGGTTTAGTCCTGGTCTAGTCCTGGTTTAATCCTGGTTTAATCCTGGTTTAGACCTGGTTTAGACCTGGTTTAGTCCTGGTTTAGTCCTGGTTTAGTCCTGGTTCAGTCCTGGTTCAGTCCTGGTTCAGTCCTGGTTTAGTCCTGGTCTAGTCCTGGTTTAATCCTGGTTTAGACCTGGTTTAGACCTGGTTTAGTCCTGGTTTAGTCCTGGTTTAGTCCTGGTTCAGTCCTGGTTCAGTCCTGGTTTAGTCCTGGTCTAGTCCTGGTTTAATCCTGGTTTAGACCTGGTTTAGACCTGGTTTAGTCCTGGTTTAGTCCTGGTTTAGTCCTGGTTTAGTCCTGGTTTAGTCCTGGTTCAGTCTATGTTTTGTCCTGTTTTAGACCTGGTTTAATCCTGGTTTAGACCTGGTTTAGACCTGGTCTAGTCCTGGTTTAGACCTGGTTTAGTCCTGGTTTAGTCCTGGTTTAGTCCTGGTTTAATCCTGGTTTAATCCTGGTTTAGACCTGGTTTAATCCTGGTTTAGACCTGGTTTAGACCTGGTTTAGTCCTGGTCTAGTCCTGGTTTAGACCTGGTTTAGACCTGGTTTAGTCCTGGTCTAGTCCTGGTTCAGTCCTGGTCTAGTCCTGGTTTAATCCTGGTTTAGACCTGGTTTAGACCTGGTTTAGTCCTGGTTTAGTCCTGGTTTAGTCCTGGTTCAGTCCTGGTTCAGTCCTGGTTTAGACCTGATTTAGACCTGGTTTAGTCCTGGTTTAGACCCGGTTTAGTCCTGGTCTAGTCCTGGTCTAGTCCTGGTTTAGACCTGGTCTAGTCCTGGTCTAGTCCTGGTTTAGACCTGGTCTAGTCCTGGTCTAGTCCTGGTCTAGTCCTGGTTTAGACCTGGTCTAGTCCTGGTTTAGACCTGGTCTAGACCTGGTCTAGTCCTGGTTTAGTCCTGGTTTAGACCCTGGTCTAGTCCTGGTCTCGTGCATTGACCCAGTGCATTTTCTCTCTGTAAAAGTTCATTACTTTCTGATGCTTTTCCAAATGAAATGAGTGAAAACGTCCGCCTGCTTTTGGCTCTCCTCTGGGCGAAGAATCAGAGCCACAAACGTTTAGTCTAAATTTAGGACAAAGACTCGAGAAAGTGACCGACCAAGTACCCAAGGAGGCAAGGAAACAAGGACGCCACTGAGGAGTTAGGATACAGACACAGGACACGAAGAGGATAACCACTCTGCTACACTAACACACGGTGGACATGCACACTTCAGTCCTGGTTCAGTCCTGGTTCAGTCCTGGTTCAGTCCTGGTTCAGTCCTGGTTCAGTCTGGTTCAGTCCTGGTTCAGTCCTGGTTTAGTTCTGGTTTAGTTCTGGTTTAGACCTGGTTTAGTTCTGGTTCAGTCCTGGTCTAGTCCTGGTTCAGTCCTGGTTTAGTTCTGGTTTAGTTCTGGTTCAGTCCTGGTTCAGTCCTGGTCTAGTCCTGGTTCAGTCCTGGTTCAGTCCTGGTTCAGTCCTGGTCTAGTCCTGGTTCAGTCCTGGTTTAGACCTGGTTTAGTTCTGGTTCAGTCCTGGTCTAGTCCTGGTCTAGTCCTGGTTCAGTCCTGGTCTAGACCTGGTTTAGTTCTGGTTCAGTCCTGGTCTAGTCCTGGTCTAGTCCTGGTTCAGTCCTGGTTTAGTCCTGGTTCAGTTCTGGTTTAGTCCTGGTTTAGTCCTGGTTCAGTCCCGATTTAGTCCTGGTTCAGTCCTGGTTTAGTCCTGGTTTAGTCCTGGTTTAGACCTAGTTTAGTCCTGGTTCAGTTAGAGGAGACACGATAACCACTCTGACACCAATTATATGAACAAGTGACTTTGAGCCAATTTAGAATCAGGTTTTCACAGATTTGAGATCCTGTTTTTTTTTTTTTTTTTGGGAGTTCAGGTCGAGTTTGTGAAAAAAAAGATCCAATTAAAAACCCGACAGACTGAGACAGAAAAGGTGCAACTATTATTTAAAATCTAACTTTTATTTTTGTCATTCCTTTGTTTCTGGTTTAGTCCTGGTTTAGTCCAAATTCAGACCTAGTTCAGTCCTGGTCCAGACCTGGTTAAGTCCTGGTTTAGTTGCTAGGCAGACTTGACCAAACCTTGAGTGATTTTTTAATTTATTTTGTGATTTGTCGAGCGGCTGGAGTCTGGGACTAATGAGCAAAAGCAGCGGTCAAACTGTCTCCACAGCGATTAGCCAAAAAAATCTACAAACCTAAAACAAAACTCAAGATTTCTGTCACTTTGATGAATTTGAGGTTCAGAATTTTGTATTTTTCTTCAAAAAACAAAACTATCTTCTGATGAAATCTATTTAACTGTTCTGAAATCCAGTTTTTGAACAGGACTAAACCAAGTCTACATCAGAACTAAACCAGGACTAAATCAGAACTAAACTGGGACTAGACCAGGACTAAACCAGGATTAAACGGGATCAAACCAAGTCTAGATCAGACCTAAACCAGGACCAAAGTGTAGCCATTTTAGTCGGCTAAACTTTGCCCCACAGTGAGATGGTCTGGGGTTCGATTCCCGGGAGTACAGAGATATCGTCACAGTTTGCTTGTTCTCCCTGTGCAGATTATTATTATTATTATTATTTTTTTTATTAACACAGAAACATTCAAATTAATTCTTTTGCTCCTTCTCTCGTTTCCTCTCTCCTTCCTCCTCTCCTCGTCTCCTTTCCTTGTTTCCGTGCGGATGCTGAGTCTCCATAGCAACAGTTGCCCCTCTGCTGTCGCCGCGGTAACAGGCTCCGTCGCCGCTAATTAGGAAATGGGAAGAACACGACGACGACTACGAGGGGCTAACTACTCTGCCACGAGGAAGAGAGGGGAGGAGGAGCTAGGAGATGAGAAGAGAAGGTAGCAGACGAGAGGAGGAGCTAGGAGGCGAGAGGAGGAGCTAGGACACGAGAGGAGGAGCTAGGAGACGAGGAGAAGAAGAGTTAGGAGACGAGGAGAAGAAGAGTTAGGAGACGAGGAGAAGAAGAGTTAGGAGACGAGGAGAAGAAGAGCTAAGAGAGGAGAGGAGGAGCTAGGAGACGAGAAGAAGAAGAGCTAGGAGATGAGGAGAAGAAGAGCTAGGAGACGAGGAGAAGAAGAGCTAGGAGACGAGAGGAGGAGCTAGGAGACGAGGAGAAGAAGAACTAGGAGACAAGGAGAAGAAGAGCTAGGAGACGAGGAGAAGAAGAGTTAGGAGACAAGGAGAAGAAGAGCTAGGAGACGAGGAGAAGAAGAACTAGGAGACAAGGAGAAGAAGAGCTAGGAGACGAGGAGAAGAAGAGCTAGGAGACGAGGAGAAGAAGAACTAGGAGACAAGGAGAAGAAGAGCTAGGAGACGAGGAGAAGAAGAGCTAGGAGACGAGGAGAAGAAGAGTTTGGAGAAGAGGAGAAGAAGAGTTAGGAGACGAGGAGAAGAAGAACTAGGAGATGAGGAGAAGAAGAGCTAGGAGACGAGGAGAAGAGCTAGGAGACGAGAGGAGGAGCTAGGAGATGAGGAGAAGAAGAGCTAGGAGACGAGAGGAGGAGCTAGGAGATGAGGAGAAGAAGAGCTAGGAGACGAGGAGAAAAAGAGCTAGGAGACGAGAGGAGGAGCTAGGAGACGAGGAGAAGAAGAGCTAGGAGACGAGGAGAAGAAGAGCTAGGAGACGAGGAGAAGAAGAGCTAGGGGACGAGGAGAAGAAGAGCTAGGAGACGAGAGAAGGAGCTAGGCGACGAGGAGAAGAAGAGCTAGGAGACGAGGAGAAGAAGAGCTAGGAGACGAGAGGAGGAGCTAGGAGATGAGGAGAAGAAGAGCTAGGAGACGAGGAGAAAAAGAGCTAGGAGACGAGAGGAGGAGCTAGGAGACGAGGAGAAGAAGAGCTAGGAGACGAGGAGAAGAAGAGCTAGGAGACGAGAGAAGGAGCTAGGCGACGAGGAGAAGAAGAGCTAGGAGACGAGGAGAAGAAGAGCTAGGAGACGAGGAGAAGAAGAGCTAGGAGACGAGAGGAGGAGCTAGGAGATGAGGAGAAGAAGAGCTAGGAGACGAGTGGCAGTTTTGGACAGTGACTTTGGGAGGACATCAAGTAGAAAACTCTACTAAATAAACATATTTTATTAATAATTATGGAGTCAACAGTTATTTTAAAATTGTGGAATTTAAACAAGACAGAGCCTGAGATGAACTTTCAGCTGTTCAAACTCAATTTGGAGACTAAGGAATAGACTCGATACTCCGTACAGATTCTGACACCACGATGACAATAGAAAGTGATTTTCCACTTTAAATGGTAGAACTTTCTTTTCTGTTCTCGCGTGGTGTTGTGTGTGATCCCTCATGGTCCAGGGAGGTTCCAGAGTGTCCATGAGTGAAGATTAGTCTATGTGCTACTACAGCTCAAGATCATTCTAAAGCTTCAGGAAAGGTTCATTTCTGTTCTGTTGGTGGGACTTTTCTTAGAATCGATACCTGCTAAAAATGTGCATCTTCTTTGGATACTAGTTTTAGTATTGATTCGATTTTCGATATTCTCGACTGTCCTGGTTTAGATCATGTTCCCTTCATTAGAACCTTTCAGCTGTTAGGAGTGTATTTCCTTTCTTTGACTCACATCTCGTGTTTCATATTTCACACATTCACAGATATATGCTAGCACAGGCGCTAGCTCAGGCGCTAACTCCTCAGGATAATCACATCACAGTTTACGTTACACGCCGCCGCCGCATGTGAAACCTACAGCACCTGGGACTCAAATATGCAGCTTAGTACAACCGCCTCACAGCAAAAAGGTTCCAAGTTCAGTTTCAAAGTGTAGAGGTGCATTAGGGTTATCAAAAGTATTAAAAATCAGATACTAATTGATATTAAAACTAGATATTGATTTAAGCAAAGTCCTGAATCTATTCCTCAGTATCGAAATCGAACTTCGAACAATTGTGATTTGTGACTTTCACCCTAGATTGTGCAGGAAAAAGCGTCTGGTGCGTGAGGCTCTGTTGTAGCTCCACTGGTGTTTTCACTTAAAACTACAGTTGCATAAGAGTTGTTTAAACAGAACTTTTTCATTATGTCAAATTAGATCAAACTTGTCGTGTTTTTAAATGTAGTTTTGAACTTTTTAGGACATGAAGCGAAGAGTCAGGACAGAAACCAGGATCCTCCAGGGTCAAATCAGGACACGCCACCGGCTACAACATTACAACATGTTACACCGCCGCACCGCAACCCCACCGCACAACACAACACCACACAACTACAACCACAACCCCACCGCACAACACAACTCCACCGCACAACACAACACCACACAACTACAACCACAACCCACCGCACAACACAACTCCAACACACACACCACACCACACAACCCACACAAACAACACAACCCCACACAACACAACTCCACCTACAACACAACACAACCACAACGCACAACACAAACCACACAACTACAACACAACCCACCGCACAACACAACACCACACAACTACAACCACAACCCCACCGCACACACAACACAACCCCACCGCACAACACAACTCCACCGCACAACACCACACAACTACAACCACACAACACCGCACAACTACAACCACAACACACCGCACAACACAACACCAACGCACAACACCACACAACTACAACCACACAACACCGCACAACTACAACCACACAACACCACACAACTACAACCACAACCCCACCGCACAACACAACACCAACGCACAACACCACACAACTACAACCACAACTCCACCGCACAACACAACCCCACACAGCTACAACCACAACACCACAACTGCACAAAGAGAGAGAGAGAGAAGACAGAGAGAGAGAGAGAGAGAGAGAGAGAGAGAGAGAGAGAGAGAGAGAGAGAGAGAGAGAGAGAGAGAGAGAGAGAGAGAGAGAGAGAGAGAGAGAGAGAGAGAGAGAGAGAGAGAGAGAGAGAGAGAGAGAGAGAGAGAGAGAGAGAGAGAGAGAGAGAGAGAGAGAGAGAGAGAGAGAGAGAGAGAGAGAGAGGGAGAGAGAGAGCGGGAGGGAGAGCAAAGGGAAATCAGATAGTCCAGGGTCAAACCAGGACACTACACCTCTACAATAACTAAACCAAAACACTACTGTACAACTGCACACAACTACAACCACACACACACACACAGAGAGAGAGACACAGAGACACACACACACACAGAGACAGAGACACACACAGAGAGAGAGAGTGACACAGAGACAGACACACACACAGAGAGAGACACAGAGACAGACACACACACACAGAGATACACACACACACACACACACACACAGAGACAGACACACACACACACGCACACACACACAGAGACACACACACAAACACACAGAGAGAGACACAGAGACACAGAGACAGACACACACACACAGAGACACACACACACACACAGACACACACACACACACACAGAGACACACAGAGAACACACACACACACACACAGAGAGACACACACACACAGAGACACACACACACACACACAGAGACACACACACACACAACAGAGAGACACACACACACAGAGACACACACAGAGAGAGAGAGAGACACACAGACAGGAAAGGGACAGAGACACACGCAGAGGACAGAGAAAGAGATGAAGACATATAGAGAGAGAAACAGAGACAAAGAGAGAGAGAGAGAGAGAAAGAGAGAAAGAGAGAGGGAGAGAGGAGATCCTCGGTCTGGGGTCAGACCAGGACACACGGCACATACAGTACACTATCACATGAGACGCTTAAAGAGACAGAAGCACACGCCCTCAGCACTGCCTCTCCTCCTCCTCTACTCTCCTTCTCTTCTCTTCCTCCTCTCCTCTTTTCTCTCCTCTCCTCCTCCAACTCTCTTCTCCGCCTCCTTATCCTCTCTTCTTCTTCTTCTTGTTTTTCCCTCAATTCCCCTCTCACTCATTCCCTTCTTCTCCGTACTTGTTTCCTTTCCTTGTTTCCTCTCCTCTTCCTCCTCCTCCCTCCCTCGTTTTCAGAGTCATGTGAGGACAGTATAACCCCCCCCCCCCCTCTCTCCAGTGTATCCTCGTCTCCTCCTCTCTTCCCTTATTTCCTTGTTCTCCTCTCTCCTTTCTCTCCCTTCTCCTCTCCTCACCCTTCCTTCCTTCTCTCCTTCTCTCTCCTAATTTGTTACCCTCTTTCTCTCCCTCTCTCTCTTTCCTGGTGTGACATGAGGACATACATTTTGTCATGAATTATATATTCACTTTTTTTTTTTGTCTTTCGTCTCACCGCTTCATCCCTCCATCCTCTAGTCGTCTGGAACACTCCGGGACTAAACCAGGACCAGACCGGGACTGAACCAGGACTAATCTTGGTCTAGTCCAGGTTTAATCCTGGTTTTGTCCTGGTTTAGTCCCGGTCTGGTCCTGGGGGCAGAACATCACGGTCTTTGAGCTCATTTGAGTTTGATCAAAAACAGGAAAAACAAAAAGCCTCAGTTTAACTCCATTTTCACCAAACACACTCAGAAATAAGTCTAACCCAGTAGTCTTGGTTTAGTCCTGGTTTAGTCCCGGTTTAGTCCCGTTTTATACTGAGACTGAACCAGGACCAAACCAGGTCTAAAACAGGACTGAATAAATGTGAGGGTAGAAGACAAACCTGACAGAGCAGCGGTCACAGGTTGAAGGTTCTCATCATCTGATGTGCCTTTGAGCAAGGCACCAAGAACTGGAACTACAGCAGCAAGTGGGAGTCACACCTGCAACGACGGAAATGCATAGTCAAATAAAGTGCAGGATCAAAGGAGGACTAAAGGAGGACTGAACCAGGACTGAACCAGGACTAAACCAGGACTGAACCAGGACCAAACCCAGTCCAAACGAGGACTGGTTGTGGTCTGAGTGCAGGATTATGAAGGATTAGAGTTTAATTCTGGCTCATATTTGGGACACTTTGTCAGACTGAAGTCATTAGAGGCTTTTTAATGAGCTTCTGTCAATCAAAATATTACAATGAAACTCAAATGACATGCCAGAAACACAAGGACTGTGTCCCGGGTTCAGACCTGGCTCAGTCCCGCTTTAGTCCAGCTTTAGTCCAGCTTTAGTCCAGCTTTAGTCCAGCTTTAGTCCAGCTTTAGTCCAGCTTTAGTCCAGCTTTACTCCAGCTTTACTCCAGCTTTACTCCAGCTTTACTCCAGCTTTAGTCCCGCTCTAGTCCCGCTCTAGTCCCGCTCTAGTCCCGCTCTAGTCCCGCTCTAGTCCCGCTCTAGTCCCGCTCTAGTCCCGCTCTAGTCCTGGTTTACTACAGCTTTAGTCCCGCTTTAGTCCCTGGTTCAGCCCCTGGTTCAGTCCCGTTCAGCCCGATTCAGTCTCGGTTCAGTCCTGGTTTAGTCCTGGTTTAGTCTCGGTTCAGTCCTGGTTTAGTCCTGTTTAGTCTCGGTTCAGTCCTGGTTTAGTCCTGTTTAGTCTCAGTTCAGTCCTGGTTTAGTCTCGGTTCAGTCCTGGTTTAGTCCTGGTTTAGTCCTGTTTAGTCTCAGTTCAGTCCTGGTTTAGTCCTGGTTTAATCTCGGTTCAGTCCTGGTTTAGTCCTGTTTAGTCTCGGTTCAGTCCTGGTTTAGTCCTGTTTAGTCTCGGTTCAGTCCTGGTTTAGTCCTGGTTTAGTCCTGTTTAGTCTCAGTTCAGTCCTGGTTTAGTCTCGGTTCAGTCCTGGTTTAGTCCTGGTTTAGTCTCGGTTCAGTCCTGGTTTAGTCTCGGTTCAGTCCTGGTTTAGTCCCGGTTTAGTCCCGGTTTAGTCCTTGGTTCAGCCCCTGGTTCAGCCCCTGGTTCAGTCTCGGTTCAGTCTGGTTTAGTCCTGGTTGGGTCCTGGTTTAGTCCCAGTTTAGTCCTGGTTCTCGTCCGTACAGTTTGCCCTTGTGTTAAATGTAAATGAATCTGATGTAACTCTGTGAAACAACACAAACAGAAGGACTCTAACCCACAACCTGCTGGTGACAGGGACGAGAGACTAACCATTACTACAGGAACAGGGGGTAGCTGTTGTCCCCGAGGAAGTCACAACAAACACATTTTTATTAAAGTCAAAATCAAAATGGAGGACGAACCAGGAGCCTGAATCTTTGCCTAAATATTGACCAAACCAGAGCCTGAAATTTCACCACAGATTTCAAATAAAGAAACTCATATTGTAGTTCTCCCTGGCCTTTGGTCTGCTTTGGTGAAAGGAGCAATAATAAATGAACTCAATCAGAGCTATTCTGCACACTAGACTTTTCAGAGCTTTCTCCATGTTCTAGTAGTTTCTTCTCATTGACCCTCTGAAGTTGGATTTGGAGTGATTCATGTTTGAGTCATCTTTAATTGTTTATTTTCAAGACTCCATTTTGCAGATCTACCCTCATTTTCACTTCGTACATGTTGTCGTGATGATGTTTACGGCGACATCAGCTCCCATTGAGCACCACAGTTTTTTAATGTGGAAGTCAGCGCACATGTTTCTTTTATAAAGTCCTGTTAGATGAATATTGATTTAAAATGTGCAAATTCTGAATGAAAAACAGAATGATCCACGGGGGTCAGAGGTCAGAGCTATAGAGCACACACAGGCACGATATGACGCCGTTAAATACACCCACAAAAACATTTCATCTTCTACTCATCAGAGGCCGGGGCGCGGGGGCAGCAGTCGAAATATGATTATTAAATCAGAACTTTAAAAGGGTATTTGACTATGGAGCCTTAACTGTAACACGTCACATAAGAGGGTCCCAAAAAAATCTGACATGAATTTGCAGGTCAATAATTTTGGTAATTCTTGTTGAAATAACCTCAAATTTTCACAGAATGTATAGAAACAAATGGAGATTTTGTATTGAATGTTTTATTTTTGTTCTGTTTTCAGGTTGAGCCCTTCACTCCCAAAGAGAAGTCATTTTGTGTCTTGGAATCTTCTCACACAGTCACCTAAGACTGTGCAGCTTCAATACAAAACATGGAGAAACTTCACCAACTGGCAAACAAATTTGAACTTGGTGCCAAAAATGTAAAGAGTTCAGCTGCTTCTGCAGGGCTGAAGGATCTGGTCACACCAAACCGTCATTTAAGGAATCTGAGTTTCCAAACTTGCTCTCCTTACAGACGTCTTGGAGCTTTGCAAGAGTTTTTCACAAATTTACTCAACCTTCTCTTTGGATGTTAATGTTGGTCTACCAGATCCTTCAGCCCTGCAGAAGCAGCTAAACTCTGCACATTTTTGGTACAAAAGTCCAAATTTGTTTGCCAGTTTTGTATTGAAGCTGCACAGTCTTGGCCGAGTGTGTGACCAGATTCCAAGACACAAAATGACTTCTGTTTGGGAGTGAACGGCTCAACCTGAAAACAGAACAAAAATAAAACATTCATTATAAAATCTTCATCTGTTTCTGTACATTCCGTGAAAATTTGAGGTTATTTCAAAAAGAATTGCCAAAATTATTGTCCTGTGAAATAATGTGACATTCTTTGGGACCCTGTGTATTTAGATCATCATCATACGTGATCGTTCAGAAAACACTGTATTCACTCAAACAACATTTAACCATTTCACTTTTGTTTTGATGCTCTAAGTCGCCCCTCACTTTGCTCTCCATGCTCAGTCACTCCCCCTTCTGTGCGCTCTCACAGCACTATCAGAGTACGTCGCACTAATGAAACTCCTGCGCATCACATCAGGTTTGTCCAGTTGTGTAGTTTTGTGTCATGTTTTTGTGTATTTATCGTGTAGGTACACTGTAAAACATTGTCTGAAGGATTGGCCTCCTATCCTCTCTCCTAACTCCTTGTCTACTAACTGCTCATCTCCTCTTCTTGATTGCTACTCCTTGCCCAGTCTCCTCTCCTCTCTTCTTGTCTCCTAATTCCTCGTCTCCTCTCCTTATCCCCCCTCATTTTCTAGTCTCTTGTCTGCTCCCCTGCCTCCTTGTCTGCTACCCCTTAGTTGTGTCTCCTTGGTCTGTCTCTTCTTCTTGTTTCCTACCTCCTCATCTCTTCTCTCCTCTGCATCCTTATCTCTCGTTTCCTACCCCCTTGTTTCCTTATGGACCACCTTTTCTGTTTACTTTCTTCCTTTCCTTGTGTCCTATCTCCTCATCTCCTAACTGATCATCTACTTTTCTAGTCTCTCGTCTCCTCATCTTGATACCTTGTCTCCTTTGGTCTGTCTCCTCTCTCCTCGTCTTCTAGCTCCTCATCTCCTCTCCTCATCCCCTCCCCTCCTTTCCTGGTCTCTCGTCTCCTCTCCTCTCTCCTTGTCTCCTAGCTCCTTGTCTCTTCTCCTCCCTTCCTTTCCTGGTCTTTCATCTCCTCTCTTCCCATACCCCCTTGTCTCCTTATACCCTTTTTTTGTCTCTTAGTGTCCTTTGGTCTGTCTCCTCTTCTTGTTTCCTAAGTCCCTGTCTCATCTCCTCTCCTTGATTCCTTGTTTAGTCTCCTCTTCTTGTCTCCTATCCCCTTGTTTCCTTGTGGACTAGTTCCCACCTTTTCTGTCTACTTGCTTCCCCTCCTCGTCTCCTTGTTTGGTCTGTTTCCATGGTGACAGCGGTCTCTTCCTAAACTCAAGTGTCTCAGTGACTCTTTGTCTCAAACTAAACAAAAACAAGACAACAATCAAATAAACAAACACGACAACAAGGGAGGGCATCTGGAGCACTAATGCCAGCTTTGGCCCAAACAGCCTTAACTTAACTTAAAGAGTATGCACCACAACACCAGTAGGGGGCGCAAGGACTGAAGGATTCATGAAATGTGACAAAACACAGGGTTAAAGCCCCACTGTGGAAATTTGAAGATCTTGAGAAAAAAGTATTTTTTTTCCCAGTTTGGCCATTTATTATTCTAAACTGAAAACACTTTTTTAAATTTTATATATATATATATATATATATATATATATATATATATATATATATATATATATATATATATATATATAATTTTTAAAGAATCAGAAAAATGTGTTTCTTGTGTAAATTGTGCTGAACTTTCCAAGTGTGATGTCATCAGTGTCTCTAAAATCGAGCTCTCTACAGTAGCTCCTGTCATTTCCAACATATTTTTCAACTTTTCTAAACAAATTGCTTCTTGATTTGTGTAAAACTATAATTCATATTTACAAAAGGTTTTATCCCACCAAATGAAGTCAATAAAAGTGCCCATATAAACACTGTTCTCTGGGTTTTATTGCAGTTTCCTCATCACAAACAGTTGTGTTTTGTTTCATTCACACGTGTTGAACACACAACCCCTGCACATTTAGGCCGAGTTCTTCTCTTAAACACAAAACACTCTGTTCCACCCTGTGATGTCATCATGTGGTAATACAGAAAGTGCTCCACTGTGTTTTTAAACTCCACACACCTTCACAAGAATCATCTGGATCATGTCAATCTCTATTGAACTAAAGGTAAAAGGAGCTGTTCACTTGAAAACTACCACTTCATGACATCACAAAGTGATTCTGAGCTGTAGACAGACTAATAACAGAGGATCACTCAAACACATGTGAATGAAACAAAACAATTCTATGGCCTTGCAGGAGTCAGTTTAGTGTCTTTAAGTCAAACTGATCAGAGATGATGTAATCTCTGGTGTCCTCAGGTGACCTCACGTGACTTCCGGTGTCCTCAGGTGACCTCAGGTGATTTCCAGTGTCCTCAGGTGACCTCAGGTGACTTTTGGTGTCCTCAGGTGACCTGAGGTGATCTTTGGTGACCTGAGGTGATCTCTGGTGACCTCAGGTGATCTCTGGTGACCTCAGGTGATCTCTGGTGACCTCAGGTGACCTCAGGTGACTTTTGGTGTCCTCAGGTGACCTCAGGTGATCTCTGGTGACCTCAGGTGATCTCTGGTGACCTCAGGTGATCTCTGGTGACCTCAGGTGATCTCAGGTGATCTCTGGTGACCTCAGGTGATCTCTGGTGACCTCAGGTGATCTCTGGTGTCCTCAGGTGACCTCAGGTGACTTTTGGTGTCCTCAGGTGACCTCAGGTGATCTCTGGTGACCTCAGGTGATCTCTGGTGACCTCAGGTGATCTCTGGGGCAGATGTGGCAGAGCGTTGCACACTTAGCTTTAGCCACATTAGCTTTAGCCACCTTAGCCATGTTAGCTTTGGCCTGTACATGAGTCCATATGCCTTTGGTGTTGGGTCGACGCCAGCGCTGCATTCTTTGGCAGCACGTCGCGTTCTCTCCCTCTTTCATATCCCTCTCTTTCTTCTCTTCTGTGTTTACCTCCTTTATATTCACCCTCTCTTTCTCCTCATTTCTTCCTACTCTTCTGTGTGTCTACCGTCCCTCCCTCCTGTTCTTTTACTCCTCCCTCCTCCCTCCTCCATGCTGAATGCAAACTTACACTAAATACTCTAAATACTTTAGTAAAACACTCACACTTGCCCTGGTTTAGTCCTGGTTTAGTCCTGGTTTAGACCTGGTTTAGACCTGGTTTAGTCCTGGTTTAGACCTGGTTTAGACCTGGTTTAGTCCTGGTTTAGTCCTGGTTTAGTCCTGGTTTAGACCTGGTTTAGTCCTGGTCCTGGTTTAGTCCTGGTTTAGTCCTGGTTTAGTCCTGGTTTAGTCCTGGTTTAGACCTGGTTCAGTTTTAGTTTTTGGTAAGTTTTCAGTTCAAGTTAAGTTTTACATTTTAGATTTGGCTTTAACTTTGCAAATCATCAGACCGTTCAAATCCATAATAGCTTTCACTGAAAACAACTGTAATGCTCATGTTTTCTTTATTTGCAAAAAAAAAAAAAGAAGTTATAATTGTGTGTTTTGGTTCAAGATGATTCTCCAGTCAGAAAGCAGGATGAGCCTCACATGAGGCTCTCATTTGGGTTGCCAGTTTCAGGGCTGAAATCCGAGAGGCGGCGCCCACGAGAGGCGGCGCCCACGAGAGGCGGCGCCCACGAGAGGCGGCGCCCACGAGAGGCCGGCGCCCACGAGAGGCCGGCGCCCACGAGAGGCCGGCGCCCACGAGAGGCCGGCGCCCACGAGAGGTGGCGCCCACACTGCAAAAAAGCTTGTCCAAAATTTAAGATCTAAACACTTAAATTGATCAGAAAAAGACTTAAAAGTAGTGAAATGATCTTGCTGCATGGACAGATTTTAAGTTTTAAGAATTTAAGTTCTCTTAAAATAAACCACCTCTAGACTAGAATGAAGCATCTCAGAACGAGTAAGAAGATAATAAATCTGAAAACAAGACGAAGAACCTGATAGAAGTTTGAAAATCTTGGGCCAGATCAGAGAAATTTGCAGTGCACGGGAGGAGGCACCCAAAAGAGGTGGCACCCACCGGAGGCAGGACACAGACAGCTCCGTCACATGGAAAAGTGTCCAAACTATTATAGAACCAGAGTGAAGGATAA